CTGTAATTCTGTTTTCTGTGGTATATATAACCATTAGAGAAACTGAATACACACCAGGAGAATACTCAGGGCAGCATTGCTTATGACCACAGAAATTGGAAGTGACCCAGAAAGTCCCAGAGCAGTAGAATAAATCAATTGTGGTATATTAGACATTACAGTACACTAGGGATTTTTTTTTTTTTTAAGTTATTTGTCTATTTTGAGAGAGCATAAGCAGGGGAGGGGGAGGGGAGAGAGTGGAGCCTGATTCGGGGCTCAAATCCATGAACTGTGAGATCATGACCTGAGTAGAAACCAAGAGTCAGATGGTTAACCGACTGAGCCACCCAGGCACCCCTAAGTTTGTTTTTGAGAGAGAAAGACAGAGAATCCCAAGCAGGCCCACCCCAGTTACCACAGAGCCCCGATGGAGGGCTCAAACTCATGAACGGCGAGATGATAACCTGAGCCAAAGTCCAGAGTCAGACGCTTAACCAGCTTATCCACCCAGGTGCCCTAAAGGATAATTAAAAATGAAAGAAACAGGGGCGCCTGGGTGGCGCAGTCGGTTAAGCGTCCGACTTCAGCCAGGTCACGATCTCGCGGTCCGTGAGTTTGAGCCCCGCGTCAGGCTCTGGGCTGATGGCTCGGAGCCTGGAGCCTGTTTCCGATTCTGTGTCTCCCTCTCTCTCTGCCCCTCCCCTGTTCATGCTCTGTCTCTCTCTGTCCCAAAAATAAATAAAAACGTTGGAAAAAAAAAAATTAAAAAAAAAATAAATAAAATTAAAAAAAAAATGAAAGAAACAGTTACATGTGCAGGGATCGATCTCAAAATACTTCTATTTTTTATTTTTTTAATTAACTTTTTTTAATGTTTATTTTGGGGGGGGGAGGGGCAGAGAGAGAGAGGGAGACCCAGAATCTGAAGCAGGCTCCTGGTTCTGAGCTGTCAACACAGAGCTTGATGTGCGAGATCATGACCTGAGCCGATGTCGGATGCTTAACCGACTAAGTTACCCAGGCACCCCTCAAAATACTTGAGTAAAAGATTAGTGAGTGGCAATTCAAAAACACAAAACTAAATAGTATGTCACTTAGAAATCATACAAGACTGGGGGCACCTGTGGCTCTGTCGGTTAAGTGTCTTACTTTGGCTCAGGTCATGATCTCGTAGTTCATGAGTTCAAGCCCCACATAGGGCTCTGTGCTGACAGCTCGG